TGACCTGCAGACAGGCATGTATTCATCAATGGAATAAGTAACTTCATGAACCATAATCCTTCTTGGAAAGCTAATAGCAGGCTCACCTAATCAAGAAATTACCTGACTATTATTGAAACCGAAGATTCATTACCATGTTCACAAGAACCTATATTATGAGCAATGCCAATCTAATCCACAACCCCAAAAACCTATCTTCCTAATATACAGTTTAAGTTTATCCTACTTTCTAAGTCTGGGTCTTATCTCCAGGATCAATAAAAATGTGATTCTGACGATAAGCTTCACAAAGAATTCTGGCGCTATTTTAAAATTGCTATTACGTTTCACGCGTTTTCAATATATGTGTCGATTAAAACGCAGTCCGAGGTTAAAATCTTAGAACAGACCAAAACCAACATTTCCTTTTTCAAAAAGAAAACTTTCAAAGCCTTATCAGCCTACCATCTGCCAGTCATGATCACGTGATTCTTGCCAGCACCATTCATCTGTCTGCTGGCGAGCCGTCAACAATTGACTGCAGCTTCCCGCAGGGTCACTGCCTTTCACAGAACGATACACATTGTGCGCGGGTCGAAGCGCCCATAAAACCAAGTCCCACAAATTCCCCCACACCGCCCCCTCCCCCCGGATCGACTACCGACGATAGTTTAGTGGCTCAGTGGGCAGGTATAAAAGATCTATAATAGCATGATTACTAACAAAGCTCAAAGTTTTTGCACGATCTATAAACATTACTCTTTACTGTTACGAAAACGTGTGAAAAGAAATAAGGCGCTCGTATTAAAACCGAGGCCAGCCACTGGACAAGATCCTGAATCAGTTTCATTAACTTCCTGTCCTTATCATCTAATATCCCTCTTAACTTATCTTCCTATAAGCTATCCAAGCTATTTACCCACTAAAATTCTGTATATATTTCTTGTTTCCACGTCAAACCTTTAAATGCTGTCCATCTTCACCTCGTTGGCTTTACGTCCTAACAATCCTAGACCGTGTCTAAAAGTCACGGTTTGTAATATTACCCACTGACTTAATCTGTTATTATCCAAAATATTTGCCTCCGTTCTTTGTTTCCAGAGTTCGAATCTACAGTCCTCCGTTCACATAAGATATTACATGTTAGAAAGGACAAAGATAACGATTTCTTATTGGCAAACAAATGTTTCGTTAAAAGAGAGCTACATGTTATATTATGCCACACACAGAAATTCAACTTCCGCTTGTAAACGTAAAGCCGTCGTACTGCTGAGAGCGGTTATTGCTTTCTATTCCCGAATTAGATTGTACTGGTAACTGCCGTCTCATATATTCAGTAAACTTCGAGCATATATATAAAATTCAGCTTAAAGATTTCAGTTCTTACAATGACAGCGAACGTCTTATTTATTTGAATTATATTGCCAATCCACCAATTAACCTTTATTCATTTCTTTGTTAACACAAAGAATTTGAGATGATAAAGTTGCGTCATATTGTGATAAATATATATTTTAATTATAGCAATATTTTAATATTTAATAGGAATTTTATTGTGATTAGACTGACAAGATTAAACAAACAAATAATTTGACTACACGTTTTGTTATATCTTGTTACAGGATTTTACGCATTTAAATCTCACAGTTTGGTTTATGTCTGAATAATCGCCAAAGGTAAATAAGATGAAGGGATATGACGAGGTATTCTACCGATATTCACTTGGCAGAAGAAAACGAAAATGACATAGAATGCTGGACCCCAGAATTTGATCTAAGGCCGAATTAAAAATCAAGACGTAAGATTTGAAGTTTTCGCGGCGTTGAGATGACGATGTTGTTTTTCCGGGTTGTGAAGCTGTGTAAACGTTTCGAAGACACATACTGCCTCCAACTGCAGCCCTAAAGGTGGAGACAGTACTTTTCGTTTTGGTATTCCGCAGGGATTTTCTACTGATCAGGAATACGTGTCTCATTCTCAAATGGAGTGTATGTTTGTTCTCAAAAGCTATTTCCAGTCCTGAATAGGATTTAGAGATGGCATTACTACAGCCCAATGTACAATTCTGTAATCAGTAGGCTCACCCTTCAACAGGACTAAGGTAACTAAAGTGTCAGCAAAAAGAGTAAGCTAACTAACTAGATGGCTTACCGAACCCGAAGGTTCATCACCGAATTAACCAAAGCCCTCCACCGGACCCTGTCCTGGGCCAACAAAATCCAGTTTCCTTCAACTCCTATCTCCCATAGATCCTGCCTGAGATTATCCTTCCATCTACGTCTAGGTTTCCTCAGCGGTCTCTTCCCCTCAGGCTTCCCAACCAATTCCCGGTGCACACCTCTTGTCCCATCCATGCGCGCTACATGCCCAGCCCATCTCATTCTTCTCGACTTAATCACCCTGACAATGCTGGGGGAGGAGTACAGATTTTTAAGCTCATCATTATGCAGTTTTCTCCACGCCCCATCGTCTTCTCTTCTAGGCCCAAATATCCTCCTCAACAAAAAGAGAGCGAACAAAAATTGTTCCTCAGAAGTGGAAGGGGGAAAAAGTAGAAATTACTGAAAATGAGTAAGCGAAAAATGCAGTAGGAAGAAATAAGATAAAACGTAACATTTCGGCCAGTAGTGGGCGGATGTGACGTACGAAGACAAAAATACGCATAACCCGAACAGATGTCAGAGATATGCCATATTAACTTCGAATACAACGTCTGTAGCAGTAAAATATTCGTTCTTCAACGGAACACGTTCGCGATGCCTATCAGATTGATAAAATTCGTAGTGTCGAAACGTCTATGACTGCAGTTGATGGGAATGGCAGTTACAGAATTCAGACTCGTAGATATTTTGCAATATGGCTGCCTTCTGGGATGTTGAGTAGTCTCGTAGAAATTGACAGACGTTTCAGAGGTGCTTACTGCCACCATCATCGGGGCGATAAGTAGGCAGAGTTTTGCTGGTTTTGATTCGAATTAATATTTATACCTATCCTATTACAAATATACGGAACCGAAAATACATTAATAAAAATAATCGATATTAACGACAGAAGAGACCAGTTCCAAATTCTCCGTTGCTAGTCAAATGGGCGATAATGTTTGAGATGGCCCTACAAATTCCGCAAGAGACCGTAACGGGCCGCTGGGCCTAAGCCTTGGAATGCTGCTGCTGTAGTTGTTGATGGTGGTGGTGGTAGTGAGTAATGTATTTTTCAGTTACGTAACATCTCTCCTGTACCTTCCACATAGCGAAAATAACTTGACACACATCCTGGCGCCGCCAACAGTTTCTGAGCTAACATGATAATTAGGTCTACTTCTTCAATATGCTATTCGGCATACGGAATAACTAATTCACTTCCTATGAAATATTAAATTAAATTATTTGCGCTACATTATATTTTATGTTATATTATTCTTCGGCAAATATTTGTTAGTAGCTTGATTGGTTCGTGATCTTTTGCTGTTAACAAATATTGGTCTCATAGGATAATATTTATTATGTGTGTTGTAATAACTATTGCCATGGTAATACTGTAAAGGGATTTTGGGCCTAATATGACAATACTTCGGACAATGTGTGTCTACTACTTTAATTACCTCCGTCATCTTGACTTCAGTTTGCTGATTCATCACCATTCTCATCCTTTACGTGTAATTAGACAAATACGAAGCGAGAAATATGAAGCAGGATTTAGGGTAAACAAGGCAATTTCTGAGTTTGAAAACAATTTACTCAGCCCCGAATGTATTAACATTCTCATGCACGCCGTGTAATCCTGCTAACCTGCACTACAACCCTGCCGGAGAAATTGCCGCATGGGTACGGGGAATGCTTGTAACGAAGCATTTGCGTCTTCGCGCTGCACACCAGATGCAGACAACGAAG